AAAAAAAAAAAAAAGTGAGAAAAAAAAGGAAAAAAAAAATACAACACTTGATATTTTACTTATACATGCAATGTCACAAGATATATACCAGTTGCTAAAAACAACAGAAAAAAAATAAATAAAATATTTTTGCTACATATAAAATTGCCTTATCCTATATTTCTATATGCATATGGATATGTTTGGCAATTATATAAAAAAGTGATAAATCGGTACGCTCCTTCAACTCCGGACAGATGGTGTGGCCAAATCAAATACTAATTTATTTATAGCTAGATTCGGTACGTTAATCATGGGGCCAAAATAAATAAAAAAATAGTGAATGCTACCCGAGAACTTCGAGAAGCTCGCAACAAACAAAAATAATTGACGTGCAAAGGCATCAAGACCACATTTTCAGACCAAGCAAGAACATCATCTATAGGTTTAACGATATAAAATTTGGGGAGAAGATGACATTTTAGTATAACCACATCACAACATCATGCCAAGTTAAAGGAGAGGGAGGGTGGGTGGGGGAGGGATAGGAAGAGAGGGAGGCAGAGAGAGAGAGAGAGAGATGGGGGGAGGGGGTAGAGAGAGAGGGATAGGGAGAGAGATCTCCCCCTCTCTCTCTCTCATCCTCCCGCTCCCCCTCTCTCTCTCTCCCTCCCTCCCTCTCCTCTCTCTCTCCCTCCCCCTTCCCTCTCTCTCTCTCCCCCTCTCTTCCTCCCTCCCTCCCCCACACTCTCCCTCTCCCTCTCCCTCCCTCCAGCTTTGGTTTAACTAATAACAGAATTGTACACCCCAAAAAACAATAGAGCTCTGACTGATTTTAGAGGCTTCAAGGGCAATTTAAATATTCAAAAGACAAATGCAAGAGCTCAGTTTAAACATAAACTAAAAATTGATTAGAGAACAACAAAGATAACAATTTCATCTTATAAATGTGACCATTACTTTGGCTTTTTATGCAGAATGAAAAATTCTCCCATCTACAAGGACACATAATCCCATTATTTCTACACCTGTTATTAATTCAAAACTAAAGGGATGACACGGACCGTATATGTCGTTAGAATTCAATCTTTCTCAAACTTTGTTGAAATAAAATAGGTAACAAAATGCAAAACCATCATCCAGTAAAAATTAAACTTTATCATTCAAGACTCAAACCGATAATCACCTTTCAAAGAACTCCCTTTAGTACCCCTGATATAGTGAAATCACTCACTGGTGCCAAAATATAACATGATAAACCACTACCCTCATTGAAATAAAACCTACATTTCAAAGGCAAGAAGAAAGCATTCCAAATAGGTTCAACAGATCACACGTACAATTATCCCAGCAAAAACCACCTGCCATGAATTAGCTAGGAAAAGGCACCACAAAAAACGAGAGATGAGATAACATATTAATGAAATATATATCTCAAGATTAAAGGTACCACCTGTGATCTCATTATCCGAGTAGGGCTCACTTTCATTCAGATTAGCAGAAGTAGTCATCAGCCCAATTTCAGAGAAGGTGCTACAATCACAAGAGTCATTGCAACAAGGGCAAAAGGAGAAGCAACCAAAATGTAATCACATCAGTAATTGTTGTCAGCACAATGGTTAGCAACTAAAGAGAAAGTTCATAGATATTAATATTCAAGAAATCACATTCTTCAAAGCAGATATAACCTCCCAAAAGAGGTAGTCCAACAAAAGGATAATCAACAAAAGTATATTAGAAGCTGAAGAACTGAACTTTAAGTGCCTCTCTGCAAATGCAACAGTACAGCAAGGTTACGTGAGTCCCAAACTTCCAACAAGAAAATCATGGCAAGAGATAAGAAATCAGGATCACAAGTCTTCCAACATACAGCCTGTAAAGATATTACATAATGACAAAGAAACTAGTGTTATGATTTGCCGACGACATATTAAATAAGCTACTTAAGAATGAGAACATGCATAATCAATAATACATTGTACAATAATATGGGCTCATGCGAAAACAAAGCACCAACATAGTGGGGTAGAGAACACTGCAGAGATAATTAATTCAGAATATGGCTATCTGCAGCTAACAAAAAACGTAGATGAGGCAATGATAGCTTTCTTTTCTCAGACTATAATTTCTATAAAAGAATCTTCCCCAATATGCCGCTGAATAACAAACAGCAGCCACATCCATCTTCTGGTCAGGACTTACTCTTCTTAGCAACCAACCCTTCTTTCATTGCATACAAATGACAAAAAACACTTGAACTATTTTTTTTATAGGAGCTGAGGTGAACTTTTGGTTAAGAAAAAAAAAAAAGGGGACTGGATAGCAGTCATTAGTTCATGAAATTAAATAGCTGCACAATCTATTTTCCTACTTTACTTCAAAATTTTCAATTGTTACCAAATGTTGTGTCCCATCTTTGCATCATTCTAGGGCAAGTATTTCTCAACAGAATTCAATGTTTATTTCACCCTGAGAATGATACGAGGCTAGATATATGTTTCTCGCCGACTTTTTTACTATCAGATTTTCAATTTCTGATATGAACCTAATTGATAGCAGTTAAAAAAATAACTCAAACATCATATATACAGCAACTTGTATAATGTTCCACAATTTTAGTCATAATAAAGTAGGTCTTCCCTGTAAAACACGCAATCTGACTACGATAAAGAGAACTATTGATTTTTAGGTCAACAGCAACACTTACTTTTAATTAGCATTGTAACCTCCCAACCATTACCACTGCAAAAAAAAAGTATTGTGGTCCAACCAAAATGACAGTGATCAACAGCATTTTTTGCATCGACCACAGTGTTAATTTATGCTCCTTACACAGCGTTATATAAGTTATAAATATGCACAGGCAAGAGGCTAAACACTCCGGTCAAAAGCTTGCTTAAATTAAACAAAAAAGTATTTTAATAATGTGTTTAAGGATATTAGAACAAAGCTTACCTCAAACACAAGAAGCCAACTTCACAGAATGACTTCATTATTTCATTTCCGCCATGAACTTCTCGTATTCTGAGTCCGTCTTCTCAGCAGATGATGGTGGCGGAGGCACCAGTGGCTTTGAGGCCCAGGGTGCATTACTCAAGCTCTGAGTATGGTCCACAGTGGACTGAGTCATAGCGGCAGGAGGAGGAGGAGGAGGCACAGCACCATACTGAGGTGGATAGCTATATGGATGCGGTGGATATGGAACCTGACCGTGTAGTGGCATTGTAGTAACCGAACTGCCATAGACATAGCTTTGCTGTGTTTCGCCTGAAGAAGTATAACTCTGTTGTGTATCAGTAGATAAAACAGTCTGCGTAGGCACGCCAGACGAACCTGGTGGAGGTGGGGGATATTGTATTCCGTATGGAGGTGGTGGAGGATAAGACATTGATCCTGGAGGTGGTGGGGGCGGGGGATAGGCGGCATACTGAGGAGGCGGGGGTGGGCCCCAGGGAACCGGAGCCCCACTATAGACTCCAGAGGGTGGGCCCCCAGTGGGCCCGCCAGAATAGTACTGGGAAGGGTAGGCACTAATGGGCTGGCTAGGGGCAGGGTATGTGGGCGCAGGAGGAGCAGGCGGTCCCGGAGGCACTTGAGGCTGAGGTGGTTTACCTGCGACTCTCACAGCAATTGGCCTCCCATCGAGCTTGTGTCCGTTCATGCTGGCAATGGCAGCATTAGCCTGCTGGACATCAGCGTACTTCACAAACCCGTAACCTTTACTGAGACCAGAAATGCGGTCCTTGATAACCTTAGCCATCACAATTTCACCAAACTGGGAGAACAAGCTGATCAGGGCATCATCCTCCATGGTAGGGGGCAGGTAGCCGATGTATAAGTTGGTCTCGTCGTATTCCTTCGGTTTTATTGGATTTGACCCCAAACCGGCTTGAGTGGTGTTATTAGAAGTGTTTGTACCGTTTGCCCAGGGAGGATTACTCCCTGAGCTACCAGGAAGGGTAAGAGCTGCTGCAGGGCTTGACTTGGTCAGAGAATCTGGAACAGTCCCACCGAGTTCAGCCAAGAAATTCTGGTACTCGTCATCCATTTTCTTTCCCGTGGTATTCTTCACCGGGCAGTCTATAGTAGGATGCCCACCGTCACCACAAATCTTACACAAGACATCACTCTTGAACGTCGTCAAGCGGGAAGGACATGAGAACTGCCGATGCCCAGGCTCACCACACAACCTGCAATACTCTTCGTCCCTAATAGTGCCATTTAGTGCTGCAAGCTCCCTAAGCTGTTGCCTTTTGTGCTCATTGAGTACCTCATCAACAGGCTGCAAGAGCTTCTCAAGCATACCCGCAGCGGCATCGAGTGATTCCTGATTATCTGCCTCCACCAATACATGCAGATCCTCATTCTCAGATGGGTCATGCTTCAGATCCCTCTTCTGCTGCAGCCTGCCTTCTTTAATAGATCCTTTGCCTCGAATCACAATTTTTGCTCCCGTCTCCTTTTCCATCCTTTTCTGCGTGTTTCCTCTTGGACCAATTATGAGACCAATAAAATTGTAACCTGGATACTCTTTCATTGGAATGTAAAGCTTCTTTTGAAGCTTCGGCGGCCTGTAATCTGCCGGTGGCTTAAAGGCGGGATTTTTCTTAATAATCTGTGATATTATCTCTTGTCTCTCTCTGTTTAATTTCTCTCTAGCACGATACTCCCTAGTGTTAATCCTAACTCCCATGTTATCATAAATAGGTTCTGGCGAGGGTGAACGAGCCCCCTCGGGCCTATCATCCAAAGTTGTGCCTGATTGCAACTTCCGGCTGATCTCAAGCAATCTACTGTTCAAAGCTTGAATCTCGGGATCGAGCTCAATACCTCCAGTGAGTTCCTTCATGAATTCGGGCAGCTGGACCACCGGCTTAGGCTCGTCATCTGCCCATCTGGACTTCCTCTTCCTACCTCCGGTCCCGAGATTACCGTCACCAGTGCCGGTGGCTCCCTCGTTTGTTGATTCACTCGGCGGTGGGTCCCACCTAGAACGACGTCTCCTACGGCTGCTGGTTTCCTCTTCGCCACCGGAGAAATCCTTGTCGGTTCCGCTGTGCGTGTTTGTTAGACCGTTCTCCGACAGCAGCGGCTTGGAGAAATCGGGCTTTGGGGTCAGGGTAGGAACTTCGGCGGCGGTGGTAGCGGCGGCTTCGTTTTCCGACGAATCCAGGGTTTTCTCAGGGGGATGAGGTTGGGTTTTCAAGCCGGAGTGAGGGTGATTGTCGTGATCTGGATAGTGGTCAAAGGAAATCAATGGTTGAGATTGGGGCTCAGACGGCGAATCCATGTAGTTGGATTGAAGGGCGTCCATTGAGAAGGAATTTGATGAGATCGGGTAAGCAGGGAAGACGACGATACGCGTATTAGGGTTTATAAGTTCTTCAAATAGGTGGTGGTTGTTAACAACACTTCAAGTAAATTTGGTTGCTAAATTTGTTAACTTATAAGTTTCATGTATTCATAAGACTTGTTTGGCAGGACAAATTAGATTTTTTAGAAAGCTAGAATTTATCTCATAAGCTACTTAAGTTTTCAAATAAGTTAGGTGAATTTTGTATTGTGGATTGCTATTTACCGCCCCTATTACTAGTCACCGCCCCCTCCAATTACGAAAATACCCTTTACTATATTTTTGAATTCT